TTCGGCTGACTGGGTGTGGTCCTCTGCAGAATAGCACTGTGCCTGCTGAGTAAGATTTGGCCATAGGAATGCATGACACATCATTAAAAACCTTGTAAAAACATTACCCTGGCTGTTTAGGAGGAGTAAATATCAGCTGTCATTGTCCAGCCCAGGAAAATATGTCCTCCACCCTCACAAGTTTGCAACACCGTTAAGGGCTGGGAGCTAGCTCAGTCGGCAAGGTGTTTGCTGCTTGCCTTGTAAACCCGAGGACTTATGCTTCATCCTCAGAACCCACTGGAAAAAAGCTGACTGTGGTCGCGGGTTTGTAATCCCAATGCTGGGGATTGGGAAGGGGAGACAGACATCTAGATCCCTGGGGTCTGTTGACCGGCCAGTCTAACCTACTTGGAGAGTTTCAGGTCATTGAGACTTTGTCTCAAAAAACAAGGTGGACAGCTCCTGAAAGACAACATACACGATTGTCCCCTGGCCTCTACATGAATGAATGTGCACACACATGCACATATGCCATAGATGACTTGCAGTCATGAGATGGAGTTTCTTGGCTGCCTCCTCATTGACGTTTTCTCCTTCCTAGGCAAGGACTTCAGCTCCCTGGCCGGAATCCTGTTCCTATGCTCCAGAAGTACCTCACGGTGACCCAGGGGCAGCTTCACTGTCTCATTTGCAGAAGGTTTAGAAGCAGCTGCTGTGGTGGGAGGGCTGTTCCTGGTCAGGCAAACCCAACAGCACAGGATGGTATCTCATCAGAGGACATCGAAGGTCCAGGTGTCACTGGCTCTCAGGTGGGAATCCCAGCTCCTAAGAAGGCATCAGACACCAGTGAGTGATGTTTATACGTGACATCAGCAGAAGTCAGTGCCCAGAATGAGCCTACAAGGGACATGGGTCCAAATCAGCCCCAATCTCCTGCTTTCCCTTTTTACTTAGATTTGGAGCACCCACCTGCATAGAGGAAAGCCGAGTGTCTCAGTTAGAGTTACTTTTGCGGTGATCAAACACCACAACCAAAGCAACTTAGGGGAGAAAGGGTTTATTTCCCTCACAGTTTGACATCACTGTTCATCCCTGAAGGAAGTCAGTGAAAGGAAAATGGCGCTGGTGGCTGGCGCTGGTTACCCCGTGGAAAGGTCACAATCACAACAGAACCCAGTGGTACCTTTTTAGAGCTTTATTAGGAGGGAAAGGGGGGACGGAGAGAGACAGGCCTGGAGGAAAGGAAACACAGAAAGAGAGGCACAGAGAGAGAGAGAGAGAGAGAGAGAGAGAGAGAGAGAGAGCGAGCAGGCTGACGCGCAGAGATCACAGTCATGTCCGCGTGATTATGTGACCTCATAACCATGGGGCATGGGGCATGCAGGACATATGACCGGAAATGACTAGGTGGAGATGACTAAGTGTCCTGCTGGGCATGCACGACCATGGGGCGTGGTTGGAATTCCTATCAATCAGGGCAGGATCTTAAACAGGGCAGGAACCCAGAGGCAGGAGCTGATGCAGAGGCCATAGAGGGATGCTGCTTACTGGCTTGCTCATCGTGGTTTGCTTAGCCTGCCTTCTTACAAAACCCAGGCCCCCCAGTTTGCACATTGGGCTGGGCCCTCCCCCATCAATCACTAATAAAATAAATAAAATAAAATTTTAAAAAAGGGCACTAAGAAAATGCCCTTCAGGCTTGCCTGCAGCTCCATCTTAAGGAGGCGTTTTCTTAACTGATGTTCCCTCCTCTCAAGTGATTTTAGCATGTGTCAAGTTGACACAAAACTAGCCAGCATGGGGCTGGAGATGGCTCAGTGGTTAAGACCACTGACTGCTCTTCCAGAGGACCCGGGTTCAATTCCTAGTACCCACATGGCAGCTAACAACTGTCTGTCACTCCAGGATTTGACACCCTCACACAGACAAACATACAGGCAAAAACAACAATGCACATAAAATAAAAATAAATAAAACTAGCCAGCACACTAAGTGTGGAGTGTTCCGAACAGGCCCAAACCATTGACTCTGGAAGTGGCCAGTGTTTCCCTAAGGTTGTCAGAAGGAACGAGCTGGACTTTCCAGAGCAGCAAGATGAGGAGAGTTTGCAACCGTTAAAAGGGAGATCCTGGCATTGTTCTAGTGGCTGTGGGTGGGCAGCTTCCTTAGCAGTAAATGGGATGGGAGCAGTGATGGTATACTCTCTATCAGCTGGATCCTGAGGGAGAAGCATGCACCCCATGTAACTGCTTTGGGAGGCAGAAAAGTTCTACCCTCCAGTATGGATCCATATACAGCTATAACTTGGGTTCGCTAGCTTCCCAAGATGCAGCTTGGCCCATTCCAAGCTCACTAGTCTTAGATGTTGAAGTCAGCATTTTCTAGTCATAAAGTCACCTGCTGCCCCCTAGGTTTATCAATATTATCTGTGGTAACTGCAGAAAGGGAAGCTGGAGAGTTCCCCGGGACATTTCCTGCTCTTTCTCCCAAAATGATGAGCCCGTCGGCAGCTGGTATATGCCACTTTCAGCAAATTCCATTTAGAGGGGAAAATCAGAATTTGTAAAACTGCTAGATGAGAAGCAGGTGACTCCTTAAAATAATATAACTCTATAACACATCTCCTCCCTGAATTATGATTTTACTAACTTCATGTGACAGAGGCAGTCTGAGCTCTTTGAAGACAGGCAGAAGCAGGCACAGTGGTACAGTGGCTCTCAGGCTTCCTAATGCTGTGACCCTGTAATACAGGTCCTCATGTTGTGGTGACCCCCAACTGTAAAATTATTTTATTGCTACTCCATAGCTGTAACTTTTCTATTGTTGTGAATCATAATATCTGAAACACAAAATATCTTATATTCCACCCCAAAGGGGTCATGGCCCACAGGCTGAGAACCATTGAATTAGATGCTAAAGGGCCTCCTGTTATCACCCCAGCTCTCATTCTTTGCTAGCATGCTCTCACACTTTGGGGGAACTTTTTGGAGACCCTTTTCTATGCCGTATTCAGATTTATATGCTTAAATTAGAAATCAGAGCTGGTATTTTATTTTATTTTATTTTCGAGACAGAGTTTCTCTGTGTAGCTTTGCACCTTTTCTGGAACTCACTCTGTAGCCCAGGCTGGCCTCAAACTCACAGAGATCTGCCTGCCTCTGCCTCCCGAGTGCTGGGATTAAAGGTGTGTGCTACTACTGCCCGCCCGGCCACAGGTATTTTATTTTGTATTCTTTTATTAAGACAGGGTTTCACACTGAAACCCAGGCTCTCTGGAACTTACTATGTGGTCCAAGCTGACCCCAAACCCTTGAGCCTCCTGCCTTAGCCTCCAGAGAGCTGGGATTTCCCACCTGCCCCACCATTTCCTGGAATCCCAGTACTTAGGAGGCGGAGGCAAGAGGATCAGGAGATCCCAGCACAGCGAAGCTTGGCTACACAGGAAACTGGAGGCCATTCTGGGCTACTTGAGAGCGTATTTCAGTAACAATAGTAATACATTTATTATCAACTAGGCAGGGTGTCACATACAAATAATCCCAACATTTGGGAGCCAGAAGCAAGAGGATCATGAGTTCAAGGTCAGCCTTGGCTACACAGTGAGCTCTAGGCCATCACAGGTTACATGAAAACTTGTTTCAAAATAAACCCAGGGCAGGGCGGGACAGATACAGAGATACTGTGTGTACGGTCTCCCAGTGGTAAAACTTTGTAACCATGTAATACAATACTCATATTTGATGTGGATGTCTGTGCATGACCGACTGTCTTTCTGAGGTTTCTGTAGATTTACTGGTACTTGAGACAGGGTTTCTTTGGGTAGCCCTGGCTGTCCTGGAACCTGCTTTGTAGATCAGCCTGGTTTTAAACTCACAGAAAACCACCTGTTTCTGCCTCCTGAGTGCTGGGATTAAAGGTGTGGGCTACCACCACCAGCTTATGGTTATGTCTTTCTAGTCTTAGGTTGGGGTTTCTACCACCCCGGCAAAGAAGCAAAACAGTTTGTCCCGTTGCATTTGGAATACTGAGATTTACATTTTTTAGTAGCTGCATTTCTCAGGGTGTGGCATGTATGCGACATGGCTCCTAGGGCTGTTTGTAACCACAGGAGCAGGGTCAATAGAGAACATGAATGAGCCACGGCAAGGAACCCTTCTGCATAATTTAAAATGGCCTGGCGAACAAAAGTAAAAAGATGTAAATTTAATTTCCAATACGTCCAAAATAAAATATTATTTCAAACACGTTACTCAGGCTGACCTGGAGTTCACTGTGCAGCTCAGGCTGGACTCAAACTTAAGGCTTCTTCCTGTCTTAGCATGGGAAAAGGTGTGGAGAAGATTCCAGAGAGTCACTGCCCAGGAAAGGGAGGACATTTTGTAAGGGCAGTCAGGGAAGGCTTCAAGTAAGAGGGGCATGGAGGCTGGGCCTGGTGGGAAGGTTGTAGGAGCTCTGAAAAGGAGCCTAATGATACTTAGAGGAAATGAGGCCATTCAGGCCTTGCTGTACCAAGGCTGCAAAGGGTAACAGGCGTCCCAGGGCTGTACTGAAGGGTTGATATTGGGATTCAGAGAACTCCAGAGGTGTCTGAGATTCCTCCAGGACTGAGGTACAAGGGCTGTCAGGGTTGTGCTTCAAAACTACTGCCTCCTATTCTTAAGACTTCCCAGTTCATCTTTATGCCGCTTCATGTGAGATTTCAGCTTGCAAATGTTCTAATCTGACTTCACTAGGATTTACAATACACACACGATCACACCCCTTGCTACTGTAGATTTATGAGCTCCAGGGAAGGTCCTGAGCTACAACAGTCAGGGACCAAGACATCCAGCTAGTTAGCACAGAAACACAAGGCAGGAGAGTTCCACTAGCGGGACTCAGCGCCATGGGTGGTGCCTCCCGGCCCGAGGGCGGGGCGTACAGTGCCGGAGGGCGTGACCTAGTGGACCAGGGGTGTGCCCTGGCCGCAGGGGGCGTGGCTTCCCCGTGCGCAGCCTCCTCGCGCGTCCGTCCCGCCCTATCGAGCCTCCGGCGCTCGACTGCTGGTGTCTGGCGGCGGCAGCATGGCGGCGGGGGCGGCTGAAGCTGCTGAGGCGGCCGCGGCAGTGGCGGAGGTCGGCTCGGCCCGGCAGTTTGAGGAGCTGCTGCGCCTCAAAGCCAAGTACGCTGGGCGGCGAGAGGGCCGGGGGACCGGTGGGTGGCGGGCCGGGGCCTCTGGATCCGGGGACGGCCCGCCAGTGCGGCACGTCCGGAGCTGAGCTCGCGGCCCAACGGCGGCCCTGGCCGGGCCTCGGCGGGACCCGCTCCGGGCATGCGAGGGCAGGGCAGCGCGGCGCGGCGGCCCCCGTGAACAATGGATCCGCTTCCCGGAGACCCGTGTGTGGCGCCTCCTGAAGGACAGGCCTAGCTGGGCGTCCGGGGCTTTCCTGAATCGCCAGCTGGCCTAGGGAGGGTCTGCTGCGGCCGGGGGCGCGTGCCGCTCGCCTTTGGGCAAGACTTCCAAAGGCCAGTCCCGGGATGCGTAGGAAACGAGGACCTCGGAGAAGACGTGCACGTGGCTCCCTCCCTGGCATGCTGCCCCAGCCTTGGGCTGCAGAATAGTGGGGAGTTCCAGGGATGACTGCCTGGGATCCCCCAACCTTTCCTCAGCCGCTTATCTGCCAGTCACCCGGGGGCAGGTTTCCTAACCTCACCCTCAGCTTCCTCCTGGGTGAATGGGCCGGTGTCCCCAGGGTTGTTGTGATGGTTCCATTAAGGTGCTGCAGTGGTTGGCGTACCGGAAGCTCTCTCCACTAATGTGGGGTTTTGTATCTTCATAGAGCAGAGTGGGCAGGTGGGAGGGTAACTGGCGGATTTCTGCTACTCCATGCAGCATGGGGCAGAATTAGAATAGCTCATCCAGAGACAGGCGGTGTCCACCTAGTGCTTAATATACAAGAAGCCCTTAGGTCAGGCTCTAGCACCGAAAACCTTCTAGTGCTTTTGAATTTCAGGTTTACTTGGTACTTTTTTTTTTTTTTTCAAAGAAAAGGAAAAAGAATGATATTTACTCGTTGGTAGAAGCTGGGTTCTGATTGATCCAACATTATCTACCATTCTTCAGGCGGAGGCCTTGTGGAGGACGCTGGCAATGGCCTCATGGAGTGATGAGGGCTTGTGTCGACATGCCCTTAAAAGTTTGAACTTACATCACATCATCTGAGAAGATTCTTTTATGTGTGTGTGTATCACGAGCTTACCTTGTTTTTACATTTCATGTTTTAAATAGGTCTTAGTGGGTAAAAGTTTATATGCCATTTGTTCTGCAAGTTCAAGGTCAGCTTGGTCTTCATAGTGAACTTTAGGTTAGCCAGAGGGACATAGGGAGACCCTGTTTTCAAAAAACCAGGAAACAAACATCCACTCCTCCCAAGGGGGGGAAAAAAAACCCAACAAGAACAGCAACAGAACCCAAACCCATTTACATGTATTCTTGACACTGATGTATGCCTGAGATGACTCAGGAGATACTGTTTCCTTCTGCAGTGACTGATCTGAATGGGCGGCATGGGAAGTGCTGTGTGATACCCTGGGAGGGAGCTTCTTTGTGCGGATATGGAAGGCATGAAGAATACTAAATAGCACTTGGGATGCAGTTATCTCCACATTATTGCTTCTCAGTTTTAAAATTTGATGTGGGTTGAAATCTATTTTTATTATTTTTTTCATTCTTTTATGCATATGGCTGTTTTGCCTGCACGTGTGTCTGTGTACCATATGCACGCAGTGCCTTCAGAGGCCAGAAGAGGGCATTGGATCCTTTGGGAGTGGAGTTACAGACTGTTGTGTGCCCCTGTGTGGGTGCTGGGAGTTCAACCCAGGTCTTCTGGAAGAGCAATTAGTGCTCTTAATCACTGAGTCAACTACTCCCAAACCCCTTTTCTTCCTCCCTCCCTCCCTCCCTCCCTCCCTCCCTCCCTCCCTCCCTCCCTCCCTCCCTCCCTCCCTTCCTTCCTTCCTTCCTTCCTTCCTTTCTTTTTTTTGAGACAGAGTTTCTCTGTGTAACCTTGGCTGTCCTGGAACTTACTCTGTAGACCGGGCTGGCCCCGAACTCACAGAGATCCACTTGCTTCTGCCTGGAGTTCTGATTAAAGGTGTGTGTCACCACCACCTGGCTCAGAAATTTGCTTTTTATATTAAAGTCATCTAATCTGATATATGTATTAAGTTACTGAAATCTTAGCTCCTGTCTATACAGTGGGGGTGGGAGGTGGGTACTGGTACCATTTGTTGAGTAATTTAGAGGTTTGGTCCATTCATAAACCACTTAGAGTTCAGAATGATAGTGCTTAGTAAGTGGTAGTATAATTTGCAGATGAATAACTGGAGTAGTGGAATATTATAGTAGAACAACACATGGTTAGTGAGTGCTAATTGTTTCACTGATGGAAAACTGAGACTCATTATGTCTGCTAAAATATTCAGATATACTGGGGTGCAGTGCAGCTCAGTGGTGGGGTGCATCTTAAAGGCCTTAGATTTGAACACCAGTGCAGGAGGTGAGAGAGTCATGTTAGTGAGATTTTCAACTTGATCTTTCCATAAATGTCCTCAAACAATGCATTGGGCATATTGGCCTATTATGAGGTAGGGAGTGGTTGCATACACTATACAAGAGGATGATATCTCTGTATCATATATATGTGCTTCTAATTGGCATTCCATGCTTAAATGGAAAATAAGAGCTAGGCATGAAGATAGAAGAATATCTCACATTAAACGCATGCAATGATGTTATCAAAACACATTTTTGTTTGATCTTTCCAGCATCCCAGGATGTGAGTTATTACTGTTTATAGTTGTGGGAGTTCAAAGAAATCAGTCATGTTAATGCCAGTGGAACAGAGCTCAACTCTGTGCACACTTTGTTCTTCCTTCTCCTCCTCCTCTTTTTGAAGCAGGGACTTGTGTAATGGAGGCCAGCCTGGAACTTAAGATGTGGCTGAGGATGACCTTGAACTCCTGATCTTCTGCATCCACTTTCTGAGTTTTTTTCACATTGGGCTCATACAAAGTCTAATCGCCTGTTTTATTTTTTATTTTGCTGGGATTAAGCCCTGGACCTCTACCACTCAGCTACATCTGTATCCACCTATTGCAATTTTAAGAAGCAATCCAATATTGTCAGCATTTTCCTATGTCATTAAAAATTATTTGCAAATTTGATTTTTAATGGATTTTAAATATTTAAAAATATTTTTATATTTTAAAGTATTTTGTTTTGGCTACTTAAACGCTATTGTTAGATAATAGTTTTGTGGTTTTTTTTGCTTATTTTCTGTAGTAGTAGGAAGATAGCTGCCTTCATAAATCTTTGTATTTTTAATTCTTAGATAATACCTTATGGGTATGTACTTTCTGGAAGGTCTTGGTTTTAATTTCTACCAGCAGGGTAAGAACGTGCTTCTTTCACTTCTTTTTTGAATTCCTAACTGAAAAGTACATCCTACCATTCAAAAGTGTAATATTGCCCTTTTTTTTATTTTTGTTTTTGTTTTTTTGAGACAGGGTTTCTCTGTGTAGCTTTGGAGCCTTTCCTGGAACTCACTCTGTAGCCCAGGCTGGCCTCGAACTCACAGAGATCTTCCTGCCTCTGCCTCCCGAGTGTTGAGATTAAAGGCGTGTGCCACCACTGTCCAGCAATATTGCTCTTGTGTAGCAATAGAGTGCAGTGGTTGTAGCTGTCTTGGAAGCATGCTCTTGAGGTCCTGGAACCCCTCTAACCACTGATCTGTCACTGTGGCTCGCCTTATGCTTGGACTTTATGTGTGTAGATTTACACAGTTCCTACCCTGCGTCCATTCCATTCTCGGCCCTCCTGTTCTCTGTGGTGGTCAACAGTGATTTTCACCTTGGTAGGAGCTGCAGTCCCCAGGAGACCTGTCCATGGTCATTTCTGAGAGGGATCTAGATTAGGTTAATTGAGGTGGAAAGACCCATCCTGAATGTGCCTGGTACTCCACACCTGCCTCTGCTTCCCAAGTGCTGGGACTAAAGGTGTGCACTACCATGGCAGCAAAGTGTTTTTTTTTTTCCTTAATTTTTTTCCCTCAGAGTAAGCCCCTTAAGTTGCTTTGTCAGGTGTTCCACCTCTGCCCACCTGGACCAGTTACTAATACACTTCCCCCTTTGCTTGTAAGGATTTTATCTGCTCTGATTCCTCCCACTGCTCGTCAAGATCACCTTTGTTCCTCAGAAGCCAGGTCAGGGTTTACCTCAAGGAGGCCCTGCTCCAGCTTTTCTCTGTTTGAGTCATGAGGCAGTGATGCCAGTTTCACAGTCTTTGGAATCTTACTGTTTTCAAGAGTTACCTCAGGTCATTTTTTTAGCAGATGATCATGACCATGCTTGTTCTCGGTTTCTGTCACGTTCTCTAAACAAACGGATTAAGTTGTATTTGTTCGTGGTTTGTCATGCTCAGGAAGAGTGTGGGTGTGGGGGGTAGTTCAGTGCCCTCAACTTCAGACATGTTCTCAAGATAAAAGCCCCCTTTTTAAAAATGGCCAGCTTGATTTAAGCATGTCAGAGTGAAAATTGCATGACAGCACTAAGTGAGTGTAGCCAAGCTTTTTCCCTCTTCTGCTGCCCTCGCCACTCTCCACAGTCTTGGGTATTATGATTTTCCTTTAATCTGGCATCTTTGGCTTCTTTTCCAGGCTTGTCTATGTGGTTGTATGTATCTCTAGAGAGTCCTGTTATACAGTTGAGTTGTGTGTCATTGTTGGAATATAAGGTGCTTTGTTCTGTCTGGACATTTGGGTATATTATATATCAGACTGCTGTGTGTTCTTTGACAAGGCCTTGTTTGTGGACCTGCTTTTCTTCTCTTAGATGCTCTACTGGGTTGGGAGGTGTGGCCACAGCCTCCACAGGCTTATGAGGGAGGGTCTCAGTGTTCTATAGGCTAAAACTCAGTTCAGGTCCCTAGACAACTTTAAGGAGGACTGAAAAAATGTCTAGTTGAATGCCTGAGAAACAGAAACATTGCTTGATAGAGCAGTCTGCTATCGGCTGAGGCCTAAGAACTCACTCTTGTAAGATCTGCCAGATACAAGTCTGTCTGGTATAAATTGTAACCCATTTAGTGAATGGACAGTGTGCCCTTCTTTGCCTTAGGTGGAGCCTCCTATTTGCCTTTGTGTACTCTTAGAAGGCTTTGTCTTCATCAGTTCTAACTAGTCCCTGTGGTTGTGTGCGTGCAGGCCTCCCCCCCACCCCATTTTTGAGGTGATCTGACTGGCCCAGCCTGGCCTTGAACTACAGTGATGTGTATCCAGTTTGGCTTTGAACCCCTGATCATTCTCGTGCCTCAGCCTCTGGAGTGCTGGGGTTGGTTACAAGCATAAAGCTTCACACTAGGCTTCCTTCCATTTCTGTTTCAGCATATTACCTAGCTTACACCTGAGCAAAACCAGGACTTAAGGAATCTTCTGTCTAAGCCCTCCCCATCCCTACTTCTGACGTGTCCTTTAAGCCGTTCTTAATTCCTTGGCTCTGGATTGGAAGGCACTGTTCTCTTTGCTCTGGCTTCCTTTCCCAGCTTCTTGGAAACCTTACACCTACAGTTGCCTCAGATTTTCAGCTCTCTGTCTGCACTGGCATTGTCCCTGCACCATACAAATATCTGGAGATTGAAAAAAAAATTTTTTTTTTTCACCGAAGTCAGGCTGGGCCCTCCATGCTGTTGGATTCCTCTGTGCAGTCCAGATCTCTTGAGGTTGATTTCTGCCGTGGCCACTTCCAGATAGGTCACTGTACTGCTGTGGGGCTCCTGCTTCTTTAGCAGTTGGCATCATTCACTGTTTGTTGCTACCTTTCATGGTTCTTACACCTTCCTTCTTACCACTCTACTCTTGACTTCTCAAGACTCTGGATTTAAAACTCCTGAAGCCATCCCTCTTTTATTTTCCTCCGTCTGGCGAGACTTGATGAGACCCAGAGACACTGACCTCCAGTCTCCTCTGTCCTCTCTGTGACGTGGTTGGCTCTGTATTTCTCGATTGCCAGATCTGTAGAGAACCTCGGGTGAGCTTGAGCCTTGGTACTAATATTCCAGTAGACTTCCTTTCCTCCCAGTATGACACTTGACATCAGTGTCTAAGCCTTAAATTGTGGTCTGTCACCTTTTCCTGCCCCTTCTGGCTGAAACTTTCCTCATGCCCTTGTGTGTGTGAGAAGAACTTTTGTTGTGGATAGGGAGGGTCCCACTTCTCACCCGTGTTTTTTTTTTTTAAGATTTATTTTAATTTATATCTGTGTCTGTGTGAGTACATGTATATGTGTTCTGGCTTGTGGAGGCCAGAACCTTGGAGCTGGTGTTTGAGACCTTTGTGAATTGTGTGACATGCATGAGTGATGGGATCTGAACTATGGTCCTCACGAGGGAACAGCAAAGATTCCTAATGCTGAGCCATCTCTTCAGCCTCTTTATCTTTTCTTTTCTTTCCTCCCCTCCCCTCCCTTCTTTCTTTCTCTTTTTCTTTTTTTTTTCCCCAAGACTGGGTCTCGTGGACTATGGGGGTCCAGCCCCTCGATAGTCCCCTCCCAGGGTCCGGGAAGAATCTACAACCAGCTGATAATTAATCTTTGATATAAAAAAATGAATCTATGTACACGAAACTCCTTAGTCCATATACTTTATTATTCTGTGTCAGTTACAAGCTTATATTCTGCTCTCATATTTAGCTCCTTTCTTTCCTGATTTCTCTCTATATTTATCTGTGGTCCCCTCTAGGTTCTATCTTAACTCCTTCATCTTAGTTCTGCCCCTTCTAGGTTCTCATCCATCTTGTTCTTTCCCATATCATCTCCTCTCCCATCTCAGTTTGTTCATCTCAAGTTCTTACCCATCTAGTTCTTCCATATTTTCTCTTCTCTGTCCCCGTGCCCTGGAAGTTCTGGTATATATACACTTACAAGCAATATTCCCTTCTCAGTGCAAAGCCAGGCTTCCAGGGTCAAACGGAGGGGTGATAAGAATCACATAGGGAGGCAATAACCGTTAATTATCATTTGCCACCCCAAAGAAAAGTGACCAATGGGGAAATGAATTAACTAAAGGCTAAATTCAGGTAATATCTAAGAAGAGGGCTCTTATGTGCTCAACTATAGTCTTAAATGTGATTAGTAGAAAATGTTAAGAATCTATAAGTTGCTCGGTTAATGGGAAAACATAAAACTGTCTTCTTTTTTCCTGTGGCTCATATCTGTCCAAGCTATCTGCCATTTTTCTGCAGGGTGGGGGAAAGTGTGCTCAGTTGCTAGGCAACCTGTGTACAGCTAGATGCCTCTGGTGATAGTTAAAGGGAGCTCTGGAACTAGAGGTAAGGTTTGGGAAAGGAGGAAGAAAAGCTTAATTGGCACATCCGCCAGGCCTTCTCAAACAGGTAGCCTGGATGGTTAAGTCTGTTCTTAGAAAGTACAGAGGTATCTCTGATAAGGTACTTTCCTCCATCTGGGAATGGACCTGGCCGGATGCTGCCAGTGATGATAATTACAAGGAGGCTTCAACTGGGGTTCTGGCTGAGTATAGCTGTCAGCGCAGAAGGTTATCTAAATATTCCTAGAAGTGGTTAGGTAAGGAGTTAGAAGTCTCTAAAGTTAGTAAGGCTGTAAGAAGGAAGGGTCCGAGCTAAATTGTGTAAAGCTATTACTTAACGTCCACCTGACCTAGGTGGTGTCTCCTTGTGGAATTTATCTTAAACCAGGAGACTTGCATGTGGACTGTTATTACTGCTAGTCCTTGAAAGTGGCCAAGGGAGATATCTGATTCCAGAGAAAGCCTTTCCTGAGGCAGTTCTCCAAATACCTGGAATGTGTATGTCCAGAGAGTGATCAGTCCACACTGTTAGCCCTTCTTAGGAAAAAGTCAATTGGGAAAGCTATGAAGGCACACATGATTTTCATAACAGAAGACAGCTGATATATAACAAGCCAAATAACACCAAAAACTCCTTGGAATTTGGCTTCATCTGGAGGAATTCCATGATCCCTCCAGGTAGTAACTTTGCCATAACCAGCTGAGTTCTTATGATATAGTCCTGCGGCCCGCAGCAACTAGGTTTCTCTATGTAGCCCTTGAATTCAGAGATCTGCCTGCCTCTGCCTCTCAAGTATTGGGGTTAAAGGTGTGTGCCACCACCGCCCAGCCCCTTTATCATTTTGTATTCCATTCCTTGCTTATAGGTAAATATGTTTGCATCTTTTCTCTATATAACACATGTGTTTTTTTTCCCCCACCTTGGAGGAGGATTTTATTTGAAATTAGAATTCTGTAAATTCAAGTTTCAGTTAAATTTGAGGTTTCAAAGATATGTCTTTGTGAAGATAGTTTTGTATGAAAATAACTGAGATTGGTAACATTGAGGTGTCTAGGAAGTGAGCAATCTAATGGCTCCACTGCCAGTTCCTATGGAGATGCTCAGAGGGTCCGTTGGCAGTGTAATTGTAGAGGACATGTATGAGCAGTGGTCTCAGCTCTGCTTTCTTTCAACTTGCCTAACTGTTATGACTTTTGCTCTTCTGTGGTTATAATTGTACCCTTTTGTGACAATACTATGTGAGATTAATAGTAATAACGTGTCCACAGCCATTTCTAAGCAGCAGCTTTCTTGTACAGAAATTCAGTTTCCACTTTCATCATGGGTTTGAAAACATAATTGACATGTCTGTTAGTTGAGATGGATGGACATTTAGAACCACTTAATGGGGCTTAATCTTGACTCAGGAAATGTCATTAACTTGAATATTCATCTAAGAGTCTGAAGACTGTCAGTGATTCTGCGCGGTACAGCTGAATTCTTAGTTTCCTAGGTTGGAGAATTTAATCTACACCAGTATTTGCTTCCAGAATTATAATTTGAAAAAAATGTGTAGATGTAACCAACCGTCTTATTAAATAAGAAACAGCCGATTCAGAGAAGAAAGCCAAGAGGTCAGAACTAAGAGCCTTACCCTTCCTGCTTCAGCCAAGAGAGCTCTCCGAAAAGGAGCTACTTCCTGTGTGTTTGTCTTTATAGTCTTTCTGTTCTGCCTTCTCATTGGTTGTAAACCCAGACACATGACTGCCTCGTCACTGCCTGTCTATAGAGACTTCCAGGTCTTCTATGGTTGGGATTGAGATTAAAGGCGTGTGTCTCCAATGCTGGCTGTATCCTTTTACACACAGAAATCTACCTAGCTCTGTCTACCAAGTGCTGGGATTAAAGGCGTGCACCACCACCGCCACGCTCTTGCTATGGCTCTAATAGCTCTGACCCCCAGGCAACATTATTTATTAACATACAATTAAAATCACATTTCAGTACAAATAAAATACCACCATAAAAATGTGTTTTATTTATTTACAGGTCGCTCCTTGTGGTCCATTTCTGGGCACCATGGGCTCCACAGTGTGTACAGATGAACGATGTCATGGCAGAGTTAGCTAAAGAACACCCTCATGTTTCATTTGTGAAGGTACTATATATTTTCAGTCTTATGTTTTTTATTGATTTCTGACAGATGAGGTAAACTAGATTTTTAAAATGTAAAGGAAGAAGCTGTGAAATTCCAAATACTTCAACTTTGTATTGAATTCTGTTGTATTTGCTCTAAGTTATTCTGACAGATCGTTTAATGTTGCATTTCTCACATAGTGTAAAAATCCCTACAGAGTTGGCAAAGGACAGAAATGTTTGACAGTAAAAGCAGACCAGATAATTCACTGGATAATTTTGGTTTGATAATAGTTAATTAAGACTTCATTGAGAAAAATATCTATGATGTGGAAAATGATCCTAGAAAGTGTATGTATGAACAGGTTGCTGGGGTCCTCGGGAAGATGCTGCTATCTCTGCTGCTTCTGTCTATACTGAGCCCCTTGTTTTATTCAAGTCTTGGATTCTATATTCCTGCTGTCTATATTCTATATTCCTAGGTAGACTCTAGGAAGTTGATGGCTATGCTGGAGGTTAGCCTACTGGCTTTTATACCTGTAATCTGGTCAGGAGAATTTAGGAAACTGGTTTAGGTTTAAAAAAAGAAAGCAAAATAAATATTGAGAATAATGAATTATTGGGAAAGGAGATATACTCTGTATTCACACATCTTAATTCTTAGAGTTTATTTATTTACTTTGAGATAGGGTCTCAGCACAGGCTGGCCTCAAGATCTTAGTTTTCTCGCTTCCCAAGTGCTGGGATCAGCACCTTGTGCTCTGTGCTCCAATGCTGAATCCTCAGGATTTAAAAGAAAATCCAAAACTTTGTTTTTAAAACTATAAATTGTGAGTTCAAAATACATGTTGACATAGATACCCATATATGAGGTTAGAAACCATATGAAGTCCTGGGTGTCTAATTCCTTAATTCCTTTGTTGTAGGTGATTATGTTTTCTAATAGTCATTTGTATAGACAGCACTTGTGTTCTTTGAATAGGTATTGTATCCTGATGGCTCAAAATGCCAAGCGGTATAGCAAGGTGGACATTGAGAAGGCTCACTCCATGTCTTCCCTGCCAACCCTTTGTCCTTCCCCATAAGTAACCAGTTGTATTAATTTTGTATGAATTCTCTCTGTGTTTCTTTATGCAGATAGAGCAAATATGAATATAATAGTTAGCTTTTTAAAATTTAAGGACTTACTTAAAATTCTGATAAATGCATAATGTAACCTTAGAAGGTAACCCTAAAATGTCCAATATAAATAATAGAAGGGGACATTAAAACTGCATGTTTGGTCAGTGATAAAAGATAATGACTACAAGTGAAATGAATGATTAAACACTTCAATCATAGAATTAGTCAGGATGATGGTAATTGTTCCATGTCCTCTTTCATACGTATAATGTTACTGGTTTAGGTAACACACTGTTCTCAGCTGCCATCTGAATGATTTATTTAAAGTGACTATAGAATTGCTTCTCACATTGGTACCAGACTTGGCAGTGAGATTTTAAGTTGTTCAAGTGCTTAAGTGTCGCTGTGAGCCAAGAGTTGGAGCTGTGTAGTACTGCTGGATTGTCAGGGATACCTAAGCCTGACTGCACCTGCTGTTTAAGGGGATGGCAGCAGTACTTCTGTTAGTTAGGACTTCTGGAAATTTCTGGAGTAAGGCTAATCATGTTCTACCCCATCAGTGTCTTTTTATCTTTTCTTTGTGTGTGTTTGTTTGTATTTGTTTTTCGAGACAGGGTTTCCGTGTATAGCCCTGGCTGTCTTGGAACTCGCTCTATAGACCGGTCCAGCCTCGAACTCAGAGATTCACGGGGATTAAAGGTGTGCGCCGCCACTGCCCAGCTGCTATCTTTTCTTTTTGAGTTGGGAGTCTCACTATGTTGTCTAGGCTGGTCTCAAACTCTTGGACTCAAGCCAGCCTCCTACATCAGCCTCTTGTAGCTGGCACCTCAAGGATGTCCTACTACACCTACTTTTCCTTTTATTTGAGTTTTAAAAAAATGTAGTAGTTTGGCATTTTTGACTTGTGAAATGAAGTGATTGTTGCGTTCTTTGGTGATAGATTCACACAAAGTCATTTAAATAAGTGATTTTTTTTCTTAAATCAATTTTTTGGTTGGCCATCAAAATAAATGAAATTGTTATTATTTTGAAGCAGGGCTTTATATATCCTAGGCTGGCTTGGAACTTACTATGTAGCCATGAATGACTTTTGAGATTTTAATCTTTCTGCCTCTATCTCATGAGTGATGGGATTGTAGTGGGTGCCACCATGCCCTGGTTATATGGTGCTGGGGGTCAACCCAGGGCTTCCTGTATGGTAGGCCAGCACTCTACCAACTGAGCTATACCCCTAGCCTTAGGTGACCTTGAATAAGGTGTTTAAATGGACTAACTACCAAGAACTTAGTTTTCTAAATGATAAGATACCAGCTCCGAGAAATTAGCTACATGTTTCTAGTCAGTTGTGAAGCTTGTTCCCACTGAAAGCTGAGAGGCAAGGCTTTCACATTCATTCTCTGCGATTCCCTTGTTCCCTGACTTGTGATGTGGCTGTAAGATGCACTGGTGTTACCTTTATGATGGGCTATTTCTTTTCCCTGTCTCAATTGTTGCCATATCCAGTTGGATCCTGAAACTTGGGTCCCTCTGTAGGTTTTCACATCTAAGAACTTTGAGGAAATACATGAGTTACTTCCATTGCTAAATGCCTTACAAAAAAATTCAAGCTTAATTCAGAATAGAGTGAAATAGCAAATTAAAATATTAAGTACTTTTTCTTTTCAAAATATATAGTTGTTCTCTACCTAAAATGGAAGTATGCTTGATTGATCTGTGCATGTGAATGGGGATGGGTGGGTGGACAGATAAATTCATGATCTTCTGCTTCAGCCTCCAGCTGTTGAGTTTACAAGCTTGTGATACCATTCTAGTAGGAAAACATATTTATCAATTAATTATTTGATAAAATCTTTCAGAATATGATATTTGGAAGGGAGAGAAAGTAGGAAGGAGGAAGAAGGTCTATTTAAGGCTTTGTCAATGATGAAAAGATTGAATGCTTTGGGAAAAAAATCAGCTCCAGTTTGTAGGAAATCTGTCCTCCCCTTCTAAATTTCTCACTTGCCATGTGTCATAGTTGCTTTCCTATTGCTGTGATAAAATACTCTGACAAAAACAACTTGAGAAAAAAGTTTATTTAGCTCATAATTCCAGGTCCATCATGGCAGGGAAGTCAGCTGTAGAAGCTTGAGGCAGCAGCTCACATTACCTTCCTATTCAGAAATAGAACAAGAATGATGCACGCTCATGCTTGGCTCCCTTGTCCACTTACATAGCCTAGGATTCTCCTGCCTATGGAGTGGTGCCACCCACATTGAATGGGCCTTCCCACCTAAGTGCCATCAAGTTAAATTGACTAGTCTCCCCACAGTCATTCCCAGAGACCAGTCTTTGAGGTATGTGGAACTTTTGTCAAGATGAGAGTTAGTTAACACTGACCATTACTAACCATGCCTCTTCAGTATAAACTCCTTTAGAGATTAGAGTCAGCTGTTTAGGGAAGAGTTTTATGATGGTGCTCTAGTCAGTATTGTTTCATTGTAGAGTGCAGTGGTTCTCAACCTGGGGGTTGAACAACCCTTTTCCAGGGATCACCTAAGACCATCGGAAAACAGATACTTACATTATGGTTCATAACAGTAGCAAAATTAGAGTTATGAAGTAGAAACGAAAATAATTTTAGGATTGGGGGATCACCACAACATGAGGAACTATATTAAAGGGTCACAGCATTAAGGTTTAGAACCACTGGTATAGTGACTGCTGTGTTTGAAAGTCAAAGGTATGGAGGAATTACAAAGGTAAATTGCTGCCGGGCGGTGGTGGCGCACGCCTTTAATCCCAGCACTCGGGAGGCAGAGCCAGGTGGATCTCTGTGAGTTCGAGGCCAGCCTGGGCTACCAAGTGAGTTCCAGGAGAGGCGCAAAGCTACACGGAGAAACCCTGTCTCGAAAAAACCAAAAAAAAAAAAAAACAAAAAAAAACAAAGGTAAATTGCTGTGTTTTGTAGCCCCTCACCTTCCCTTGTAGTGTTGGGGACTGTACTCAGGACCTCACATTTATGGTAGGCAAGTGCTCTACTACTAAGTTACATTGAGGCCTATTGTCAGAGTCTTCAGGGATGGAGAGGTGGCTCAGCAGTTAAGAGCACTGTATACTCTTGCCAGGGACCTGGTTTCAGTTCCCAGCACCCACATGGTGGCTTTTAACTGCCTATAACTCCAGTGCCAGGGCATGACTGCCTTCTCTAACCTCTGTGGGCACCAGGCATTCACATGTTGCTCATATATATATTCAGACAAACACTCATACACATATGACAAAAATGCATAAATCTTAAAGGAAAAATAGGTTCCTTAATATCTGATTGATTCCTGCTCTGACATAAGCAAATGTCTTAAAGACAGAGTTCATGCTGCTTAGTGTTCAGATACCTGTACAATTGCTTTGTATAAAATGATTGAGATGACAGTGCTGGTTATTGCCAGGAGTAAACGAATTAGTGCACAAAACACCAGGCATTATCCAGCTTAGAGTAACTCAGCTGTGAGCCATTTCTGTGGCACTGACCTGCTTAACTGAAGTAAAAGAGTGAGGACCCTGTTGGACATGGTGACACACATCTTTAATCCCAGCATTCAAGCAGAGGCAGGTGGACCTCTGAGTTTGAGGCCATCCTGTTCTACATAGCAGGTTCTAGGCCAGCCAAGGCTTCATAGGGAACCCCTATTTCATATTCCTCCAAAAGAATGAGGACCCTCTATCTACTCACTTCTTACCCCTTCTGGGAACACCATGGGAAGGCTCTGCAGACCTTCTTGGGGGTAGGGAGCAAGTGGTTCCCACCATAGGCATCTTTGTGAAGATGCAGTCTGGGTAAATCCAATCCCTAAAGTGCAGTCTTTCTTGTGACTGTAGTAGTAGGAAGCTACATGTGGCATAATGACAGCACAGATTTTATAGTTCAACTTCATTTCTGAGCTGTACCATTTCTCTATATTTGAACATAAGTCATCCAAGTTACCTTTTACATTAGCCAGAGTTGTCTAGAGAACGAGCCAGTGGGACATGGAGATGTGTATAAGTAAGGAGATTTGCTATAGGAATTGGCTCACCTCACCATAGAACTTTAGAAGCCTTTTCAGGCTGGAGAAGCAGGGTTGGTGCTGTGCAGTCTGTGCCAGAGACCTGAGAACCAAAGAACTGATAGTGTAAAGCTTGAGCTTCAGTGGCGGGAGCACAAAGGCTCAATAACGTGGGTCTCTTATTCCAGGGGAGGAGATGGGTGTTCCAGCCACCCAACAAGAGAGTGAACTCACCACTTCTTTGTTGTTTTTGCCCGTTGAAGCCTTACTCCTTTGGGTGATGCTCTCACATTTTTGAGGATAAGTGAGTTTTCCTTATTCAGCCTGTCTCTCAGGTGAAACACCTTTATAGGCATGCCCACTAATGATGGTCTACTGGTTATCAGGCCTATTCATCTAGTCTGTAGAAGGGCTCATGGTATGGAGCTGGCTGTTCATGAAAGGTAGCTTTGAGCTCTTATACATGCAGGCATTTAAAAATATTTTCTATTTTCATTACTAAGACCATTACACGATATTAGAACCATATTTTCAAAGGATTTTGAGTGCTGCAAAGATTTCTTTCTATGGTGCTGGGGATTGTACCCAGGGCTACAGGCATGCTAGACAAATCCAGGGAGCCTCTACCCCAGCTCTACAGAGGTGTTAGGCCGTCAAATGGTGCTAATGGTTTGGAGAACTGTTGTGGCTTTAGTGGAAATCCTGTCCCTTCTTTTGTGGTTTGTCTCTTCCCATGGCCTCTGTGAGGAAGAGCTAGTCTTCTAGAAGCTGGTTTGAAGGAGGCACTTGTAGTGATCCTCAGGCAGGAATGGCAGCAGAGATCTAGTTAACACCTGTAGTCATGCGTTAACAGTTAGGGTGCTGTCTGTTCTGGTCCAAGAACATGTGTCCTTTTAATGTTGCTCAGGTGCACTGGAGGTAAGGTCTCTTTCTGAGTGACACTCAGCTCGTCAGAGAGTTAAAGAAAAGAGTAAGTTGCTGGGTGACATTGTGGGCATGCTTTTGAAAGCCCAGCTTTTACCGGCACCATTGGTCTGAGTATGGAATAGCACACGTGTTTCTAACTGCAGTCTGTTTTAAACCTTTATGTCAGGCTGCTTTCTCTTTTTGCTCTTTTATCACATGAGAGGACAACTGGTGCTAATTGAAGGGATAAAACCTTATCGTTAAGTACATTTGAAAAATGGAAACAATTAAAAACATTGTTGCAGAAGGCACTGACAGTATCTGTATAAAGCCTGTGAAAATGTGAGGCAGGCAGGCAGCCAGCAGGAGACCATGCAGGCTGAACAGTGCCTCTACAGGCCAGGCATCATTTCAGCACAGGTAGCCTGACTGGGGACAGCAGAGGTGAAAATCACATTTTAAGCCCAGTGGAAATCTTTCACTCTTGGAGAAATTCAGAATATATATTTTAAACACATTTAACAATATAATTTATCAATAAATTTTATTTCCTATAGGTATAATGTGAATACAGGTTTTTATTGGTTTCAAAAAGTTTATATTAAATTGACAGTCCTATGAGAGAAAAATATAATATATCTTGGTTTTTCCTCAAAGCATATTTATAAAGACCTACGTAAATAGCTTATAGTAATTGTGGTCTAATTATCTAGAAACTGGGTTTCTAAACTTTTTGAAACCCATGTGCCAGATACCACATCATACATTGTTTGATGAGGTGCCCCAAGGAAATGATCAGACCAAATACAGTCATCTTAGTCAAAATGAGTTTACATGTTTGAATAGACTGGAGAGCAAGTAACCAAGCAGGCTGTTTGTTTAGTGTCCAGCAGCCATGCAGGGGTTAAAAGTAAAATTTATCAGACATCAATAGTTTATTGAAGAAATACTCCTTTTTGCTTCATAATTTGCAGAAAGCTGCAACTGTCAGTCATGATGTACTGCCTCTTGAAATTAGTCAATAGAGCAAACAGCAAGAATTGCTGTGGGCAGAAAATAAGCACTGTAATCATGACATAACTGGGGTCAGTGATTTATGGATTTCAATATAGTAGTAGCTGCATATGATTGAAAATTTACTAGGTCACTAGTGCACCAAAAATTTTATTCACAGCCTCCAGGCATCTTTTGAAATGTGCAACAAAATAAAAACCTCTGAACCTGTTTTGACACTGCAGACTCCGTGGATGACATGCCAGCCCAGTGAGTCTCATTTAAATGTAAATGTGTCATAAACTTTTGTCCTATAGTCTTAAAACACCATGAACTTGAAGGGACAGTGCATGTGAAACTGATTTACATAGCAAAGTAGAGAAAGGACCAGTAATAATGAAGCTTGGATTCTTTTATTTTAAAGCTGGAAGCCGAAGCTGTTCCTGAAGTATCTGAAAAATATGAAATTAGTTCTGTTCCCACCTTCCTGTTCTTCAAGGTAAGGATGAAAGAGGCACCACAGATGGTCCATCCAAGTGGCTCCTGGGACTGTATGTTCTGATTCTTTTATCCTTTTCTGATCTCTTTGGTTGTTCCTGGCCTTGTACCTTTTTCTGGTATTCTCTCTTTGCACTGATGAGGACCATGCTTGTTACTTGCCATGAGCAGTAGGCAGTTCACAGATAGACCTGGAGCCTCCTGACCAGAATCCCGACTTCTCCTGCAGACTTAGTACTCCCTGACCCAGGTTTGAAGTGGGTTATTGAGGCCATGTGCCTGGATGTGAGGAGGCATCTGGCTGGTTCTAGTTGATTAATGACTCCTTGGGAAGTGATTGTAAATCTTTGCTTCAGGGCACCCATGGGTATTACACAGCTCTCCAAAACTTCATTTGTGTTCAGTAGGTCCATTCAAGCTGGTCTTGCTTTGAGATGTCAGTGCTTACCAAACATGCTCCAAAATGAGTGTTTCTAAGTGAGAAGTAGTACAAGCAATTGCTAATCAGACTCTTTCACTTCATTAACAACAGGGATGCCTTTAAAAGTTGGCTAGAGCTATGTATTTCCTTATAACCTTGGAGTCTAAAATATAGATAATGGTGAAGGAATGACACTTTATTCTAAATGACATTTCAAACTTCAGAATTCTCAGAAAGTCGACCGGTTAGATGGTGCACATGCCCCAGAGTTGACCAAAAAAGTCCAGCGCCACGTGTCTAGTGGATCCTTTCCTCCTAGTGCTAATGAGCATCTTAAAGAAGATCTCAACCTTCGCCTGAAAAAGTTGACTCACGCTGCCCCCTGCATGCTGTTCATGAAGGGAACACCTCAAGAACCACGCTGTGGTAAGAAGCTGATCCTAATGATGGGGACAGAGTTCCTGCCTGAGTGGATGCTGTGGGTGTGTGTGGAGTTAGGTGGGTCACATTTCCCGGTGTCATCATGCAAGGCAGTGGTAGCTGTCAGTGTGTACTATAGACTTGGAGGACACGGGAGTCCGAGGGGCATCTTCTTTGGAAATCACCAGGTTCAAGCTTCTGTGTTTCATATCTGAGTTCTCTGCTGTGAAGGTAACTTGTTCACCGGGTGGCAGAGCTGGGAGGCATTAGGTTCCAGCTGTCTGTTATATTGCTGTCTCTGTTAATGGGTTTTTTTGTTTGTTTGTTTGTTTTTTGAGACAGGGTTTCTCTGTGTAGTTTTGGTGCCTGTCCTGGATCTTGCTCTGTAGTCCATGCTGGCCTTGAACTCACTGAGATCTGCCTGGCTCTGCCTCCTAAGTGCTGGGATTAAAGGCGTGTGCCACCACTTCCCGGCTTGTTAATGGGTTCTTGACCTGTATAAGGTTGGTTTTTTTTTTTTTTTTTTTTAAGATTCGTGTGAGAGCGCAGGCATGAAGTGTGTGTGTGTGTGTGTGTGTCTGTGTCTGTCTCTCTGTCTGTCTGTCTCTCTGTCTGTCTGTGTGAGCATAGCATGTAGGCCAAGAGGCCAGAAGAAGTTGGATTGTTTAGAGCTGCAAGTAGAGGTGGTTGTGAGCTCCCCAACATGGGTGCTGAGAAAATCTGCAAGAAGCACTCTTAACCCCTGGGTCATCCCTCCAGCCCTTTTAAGATAATTCATTATTTGTCTGTTGGTCTGTCTGTGTGAATGTATGTGCATGCCAGAGGAGGGCATTGGGTATTTGTTTCCACTGTTCTTTGAGGCACCATGTGTGGAACCTGCTAGGCTGTCAAGTCCCAGTCGTAGTCCTGTCTCCTTCCTCCGGGAGTAGGAGTCACAGTTGTTGACTGGACGCTTGGCTTGTTATGTCCATGCTGGGATACACCTGCAGCCCTGATGGCTGTGCAGGGAGCACCCTCACTCCTGGGCATCTCTGGCTGTGCAGTTCGCTGTGAACAGTTGTCTTCTGGTCTCCTTCTCATCTTTTGGTTGAGATTTAGTAATTTAAAAGCTTGAGGGCTTTCATTAGGGCCTGGGTCTGCTCTGTGTCTTCTTGTTTTCTTTCTCTCTTGAGCTTGCCTGATGGCCTTTTTCACCTGCTGCTGTCACTTCTGGTTGATAGCTGCTAGTAGATTAAAGATCATTGAGTCTTGGCTTATAGTCACGTACTTTCTGTGCGTGAGGGTGCTTGTAATTTTACCCTTAAATAAGTTTGGTAATTATTTGACCCCTCTGGTATTGAGCTTATGTTGTTTTCTTTTTACTGTGCCTACTACAACATTATGCTGCATAATTGAGTTTTTAATGCCTTTTGATGATTCTGTTGAGACTTTAAGGATATTTGTTTCAACTGCACTGGAGGGGATTTATTAAGATAGGTAGCAGTAAAATTGGGTATGCTGTTGATAGGATTACTGAGTGTCCAGTGTGACTGGAAAGAGCTATGCTGCCATTCTGAGAGTGTTCAGGTTAAACTCTTCCTCTGTGGTCAGGAGGCGTTCTACTTCTAACAGTAAAGCATGGTGCTAAGTTGTATTAAAAAGATAAAGAAGTGATCCCTTCCTCTCTTAGTTCTGCCTGAAAGATTTCCCAGTTAAGCAATGACACGAAACAGGCCGTCTTCATAGTGCTCTCTTGTTACTTTATTTTGAATGGAGGTTGCAACTGTTGCCCTCTCTGGTGCTTAATGTAGTCTAGTTAAGGACTTACCTTCATTCTAGTTGGAAGGACAGTAAAAAGGCCTGTAAAAAACGTGTACAAGCCTGTATGGCAGGCTATCCATACAAAGCCAGAGTCAATCCAGTACTCTGTTCTTTTTTGAAATCCAACAGTAGCACTCTCTTAATCTTTTCTAGTAACCTAGTGAGATTGGCAGGAGGCAGAATTGACTGGGAGTGTCGCCAGGCAGCAGAGAAGGGGCTTTGTGTCACTTGCTGTGCTGCAGCCCTGCACTGAAGTTGGCCCTGATCAAGAACTGGGTACAAGTCAGGTACCCCTTGGCCTTCAGCTGCTCTGCAGGTGCTGGGTGGGCTTAGTCTTGCAAGGCCTTTCAGTGCAGCGGCTGTCTAATTTTTCAAACACATTAGTGGCAAACATAGAAATAGTCATTTTAAAAAATTAACTTTTAGGTTAGCATACATTAGACTGATATCATCTTTTCCCCTCCCCCACACTATCTCAAGTCCCTTCCGGTTCCAGCTGGTTCTCCTCCTTCCTTTTTTAGTTCCTTGCAAGTTTTCATGTTGCTTGTACTTCATCCCTCTCTTTCCCATCCACTTAGAGTTCCTCCTTCCCTCCCCCCTTCCCTTTCCAGTACTGTGACACACACACACACACACACACACACACACACACACACACACACACACAGAGAGAGAGACAGACAGACAGAGAGAGAGAGAGAGAGAGAGAGAGAGAGAGAGAGAGAGAGAGAGAGAGACAGTCAGTCACAGGTGTGTGTACACATACACAAATGGACACAAAATTTTAAATCTAGTTTCTGCACACAAGGGAAAATGTGTTACTTGTCTTTCTGAATTTGACTTATCTAGAATTAGTCTTTCATTTCACTAAACCGAATTTATGACCTATTTCTTGAGTTTTTATGTTGTGACATTTAGACTACAAATAGAATAAAAAGATTTAAACATTTTAGAGCAATCTGAAAACAAGATTTTATGGATATTTAGATAATGAAAGAAAAAAAGTAAAGAGATTGTTAGATGCATAAGGTTTTAAACTGCAGTTTTTTCTGTTTGGATGCCATCTTCGTAACTTTTCTAACAGTTTTAGTAGGTTTCTCTGTCCTGATCTTTTGCTGTCTTGTTATGTGTCGTCTTCTTCATGTGCGGCTTCCCTTCTGGTCTTGCTTTCTGAGCCTGCTTGGTGTAGAACTGTTTGTGCTTCATATTTACAGTCAGTGAAGAGAGTAGACTAGGCCTTCCTGAAAACAGTTCGTCTCTGTGAGCTCGGGAGGCTTCTCTCATGTAGCAGAGTGCTCTTTAGAGTGCTCTGCCGTGAGCACTGCTTTGTTCCTGGTCAGCATCTGTAGTGGAGGAGAGCTACACTTGCATTGGAATGGTAGCCCTGACCTTGCTTTGTGTTACCCAGAAAACTTGAACAACATTACAGTGTATATCCAGGAGAGAGGGGGAGCCTGTTTGTCCTAGAACTAGTATAGGCCCCGGCTCCACCTTCTGCTGTACTTTTAGCCTCCATCTGTAGAATTTATGGTGACTTAAAAGCCGGGATTGAGAAGGTCTCAGGCCACAGACCTGCATTTTCTCTCTTCTGGTTTCTCATGAGGATAGGAAGAGAGCTTGCTTACCTTTGAGGAAGTTTCCTGAAGCACTGAGGTCCTTCAGTGTGGTAATGAGGTTATTGGGGGAATCTTGTAGCTATTGCAGCTAAAGCTGGTAGGTGTTTGGCTATAGGAGCTTCAACAGTGAGAGTCAGATGCAAGGCACAAGTGCAGAAATCCTCTTAAGGGTCTATTTTAGGTAGTTATTAAATGTGGCAGTTAGACTTATTACTCATGTCATGAGTGGAAATGACTGCAGATAGAAATGGTGATTTTGTGGTAAATGAGTTTTTTTTTTTAACTTTTAAGTGCTTCTATTGCATGCATGCATTTTTTCTTCAAGAGTGTATAAATGTTTTGTTATTAGAATAAAGCCCTATTACTACTTTATCCTTAAGCATAACATTTCCAATCTGCCACTTTAACCCTTAAAAATGAAACCCTACCAATCAATCTTTCTAGTCTGCATGTAATTGCCTAAAGCCAAAATAAAGCCTTTTCTCAGCCAGTTACAGTAGAAACGAGCTAATATATTGGGAGCAGAATAACCATCAGCAGTCAGCCGTTAGCTGTTTACTAATGAACTCCCAGATGAGTGCAAACATTCAGAAACAGTGTTTGACTTCAGGCTGTGCATGAACACCACACTTGAGTTGTAGGAAAAGCAGCTTATGTGCTGCACACTCATCCTGGTGCTTCATCTCCGCAGACTGCAGAGCCGGGAAGCGGCTGGGGCTCAGCTCTAGATCTGTGCTTTTAATAGTAAATGCACTTTGGGTGACGTCTGGTAAAACCATTGCAGTTAATATTATGTTGGATTTTATGATTTGATTTTATTTGAAAATAATTGCTGATGTGAGGAAATCCTAGAGGAATTTTTAATTGGAAGAATAGGTTGTGTTTCAGTGAATTAAAGAATATGTTTCAGAGAATGGTGAAGTGAGGAAGAAGAAGGTGCTTCAGACTTGGAGATGTAATTGATAAGAATTAGCATCTGGAAACAAAAGTAACCCTTTTTTTCAGCCTGGACTGATAGGTTCTTAACACTGATGCTTACAGCCTTTCTTCAGGTTGATAAGAGTCATGTTCACATCCTTCTTCATTGTGAACATTTCACCAAAGTCTAATAAACTCCTGGGACATAAATTTGTCACTATAGTGTAGAAAAAAAAAATCATACTACACACTGTAGGGAATGTAAATAATCTTAGGAAAACATCTGTCAGGTTGTAACATAAGCTGAGAAGGAATGGTGTCAGTCTATAGACAGTTCATATGTACCAGCAAAGATGACTTCAACATTTACTGTACTGTGCCTACTTCAGACCCAAAGAGAGCACTTCTGACTTCCATCCATCCTGCTCAGAGGTGAAGATGAGAAGTACCTGCAAAAGTGTGTGGTGGGCTCACTAGAGTGGTAGGAAGGACTACACCTGGGTCTCACTGTGGTTAAAATAGCTGTCCTAGGTATTCTGGTCAGTCCTCTGATGGAGAGGGAGGGAGGCGGCCATGGAGGGCTTTGTGCTATGTCAGGGTGGAGTCTTGCCAGGCTTTCAGAGTTCTGCTCTTCGGCCAGTGCGGTGTCTCCAGTTCAAGAGCAGCTTTGATAAATACACAGCCCACTTTTCACTGCAGTTATGTTAACATATATGTTAAATTCTCGTTGTGTGAAGCTCTAAGTCATATGAGGGGTTTTAGCATTTATTTTCCTCTTAAACTATCCAGTTATGCTGATTCAATCACTCTGCAGGCAAGGTGGGCATTTCTGTCCCCTGGATACAGTGTGGTATGTAAGAGATGCTGAATTCTCTTATTTCCTTGTTCTGTTGCAGGTTTCAGCAAGCAGATGGTGGAAATCCTTCACAAACACAATATTCAGTTCAGCAGTTTTGATATCTTCTCAGATGAGGAAGTTCGACAGGGGCTCAAAACATACTCTAACTGGCCCACCTATCCTCAGCTCTATGTTTCTGGAGAGCTCATAGGGGGACTTGACATAATTAAGGTTAGAGTCTTTATAAAGACATTTTGTTTTGAGCACACTTTTCTAAAGTGTTGTAATAAATTGAAAGCATGTTTTCTTATTGCACCTAAGGATTTACTAAGGAGAATACAGTATTTCTGATAGACATTTGTCAGTATTTCACATTGGAGGTGGTCAAGGTGGTATATGTTGTAATAATGTCCTTCTTTCAGGAGCTGGAAGCATCAGAAGAGCTAGATACAATTTGTCCCAAAACTCCCAAGTTAGAGGAGAGGTAAGTACTAGAAAGCTGACAGCAGTGTGCCCTGAGTGTCTTCACAGCCTATAAATCCTATTACCGCATTGACCTTTCTGAGGAGACACCAAGCATTTGGTGTTTGCCTGTTGGGGTCATAACTTGGTGGTTGTTTCTCAGCATCTAGTCTTGGAAACTTGGATGCTCTCTCTGTTTTGGACTGGAGATGTTTTAGCACAGTTTATCGACTATGGAGAACATAGTGTCATGGCCTGTGTGATCTGGTCACTTGACTGTCATCAGTTTTATTCTGCAAGGAAGTTTGGACCCATGGTACTTCCACAATGTGAAGAGAGTGAAGAGAAAATTATGTGACCCATTGTCCCTATACTGATTTTCCCTAAAGATTTGCGACTAAACTTTGTTTCAAATTTGGGTGATTAACATTCCTGACAGCAAGTTAGAGTGTGCTTTTTGACAGGTGGCATATAAAACAGGAAGTATTAAATTCAAATGAAAACTGTTATTTTTAGCAGTTAGCGATGGCTGGAGGGCTAAGATTGGCCTTCTTACCTTTGCGGCTGGCAGCCCTGCTCTGGGCTGAGGAGCATTATGCAGCATCGTGATGGGAAAATGTTCACTGATCCATCTTGGGAACTTCTAGATGGCTCAATATATAGTGCCCACCCCATCGAATAATTCCTTACAGAATTGGTTATTATTATTTTTTTAGTACTACAAGTTGATGGGCTTAAATTGCAACTTGAAGGAACGTTTCTTGCCTTAAAAAGCCACATTATGTTTTACAGTGGCTCAGGGAGAGAAGGAAATAAAGGAAAGTGTCAATGCATTTGCTTGTGGAATAGCACTCAAAGCTGTGAGCTGTCATCCTGCTCCCCCTCAGACATGCCTGCTACTCAGGAAGCAGAGCAGAAGTGGTGGGTAATAACTGAGCTGAGCCATTTGATATCAATTTTTTCTCTTCAGGCTCAAAGTGCTGACCAATAAAGCTTCTGTGATGCTCTTTATGAAAGGAAACAAACAGGTAAGGAACTCAAAAATGGTTTTATTTGTAATTTCTTTTGATGTTAACATCTGCAGCAAGGGGACAGTTAAGTCTTTTTTTCTAGTTTAGCTAATGAAGCTGTAGTGGTATCAGGAAGTTATCCGAGCCTTAATTGGTGCTTATGGAGATCAAACAAAGTAATCTCCATTTCGCTTGACTTTATCATCAGCGTCTCAGCAGGGTGCATTGCTTTCTGCTGCCAAACTTGGTCAGCTGAAGTGGTCAACACTGAGAGCACTTAGCTGATTCTCTCAATTGCTGTCCCAGTCCCCTTGGTTTGAGAGTGTGGACTGTGGGTGCTTGTACATTCCTGGTAGTCCTGAGCTTCTTGGGTTTAGGTCCTTAGATCCTCAGAGTAGGAAATAAACCCTGACAGTGGCCCTTGTGCTCTGTGGTACCTGGTTGATAAGTGAGTAGCACTACCACAGTTCTCATTTGTAATACGATGGTTCTTATGCTTGATGAAAGTACATACTGAATTTTCATTAGTTTGATAGTTCCCCTTGCACTCATCAGTTGGCGAAGAGCTTATTCTCTTCTGGGTTGGGATTAGATTGGTAATTTTGAAAAGCTAGTCCTATCACTTCTCTCGCATTTTACAGTTTTAACAGTTGAGTTTCAGCTGTTCAGCTTTAGGCAGGCAAAGCTATGCAGTTTGCTTTCCTTTCAGGATAAGGAGACTAAAGCTCAGAAGGGTGAGGTGGTGGAGTGAGGGTCTGTCCAGGTTCTGGATGAGCCACCCTGGGCAGGTGATGCCACAAGAGGCCTTTGCCTCCCTTTGCCTTTCTGTGAATGGACCTAATGATGCCATAGGACTGTTTTAACGTCAGGTTGCTGTGGTACCAACACAGTGAAGCCCATTAGTTAAAACAACTAACTAGTTAATGTAACTAGTATGATGGAAGTAATAATAAGACAATGCAATTTTAGCATGTTGGTAGCACTGTGTTAGGACATAAACTTGGTGACTGGGACAGTGCACTTATTAAAAATAAACATGATGTTAATAACTTATAGTAGTGATTAAGTGGCACTCTTTTGCTCCATTGTTTTGGCACTCTTTTGCTCATTATTTTGAAAGCTGACTTTGGTTCTCCACATTTCTTGTGGCTGTCCAGGAAGAATTTGCATTTCTTGGAAATGGTGTCCTGGGAGCTTTTAAGATGTTCTGTATTGTCAGGCTTCTTTCCCAAGGTAGCTGGGGCTTGGGGAATCTGTGGCCTGAAATAAAGCATAAGATTTCAATCACTTCAGATGAGCTGATGCCACATTGCAAAGAGAAGTATAAAAGGTGTGATTAAAGGTCCATGGGATCTGAAAACAATTAGTTTAGTTCCTGCCACTGACTTGACTATGTTCTATCACCTTGCATAACACAAGGAAAGAGACAGGTGAGTCTGTGTAGATGATCTGGGTTTGACTGAGGGGAACTTCTGACCTCAAGGATTTTCAGCTGCTATGTGTCCCTCATCTTATAAGGTTAAAGCCAGAGTCAGTCTGTAAGTTGTTTGGGATGATGTCAGCCGGGGCCAGTACTTCAGAGTGAATGGAAGAAGTATGGGAGCTGGGTAAACACAGTGGCTGGGGTGCCAACTTGAGCATTCGCTGCAGCCACACTTACTGAGTCTGTGAAAAAAAATGTACAATGTACTTTTTTTTATATATATAATTTAGGAAGCAAAATGTGGATTCAGCAAACAAATTCTGGAAATACTGAATAGTACTGGGTATGTAAATCTTGTTTTCAAATAGTATACTTAAAAAAAAATCCAGCTTTTCAGTTCTGCCACTGATACATTAGAGTTTTAATGTCAAATCTATTTGCATGGTATTTATTTATTGACATATATTGTCTTTTTTTTAATAGTGGTTTTTGTTATTGTTGTTGTTTTAAAATGCTTTATCTTAGACCAAATTGGAATTTTCTGGCCTCGGTTCTCACTATGCATAAAGACATGCAGGGAGATGTTCATATATTCTAAATGTTATTTAGAAGCCTGTGTTTTCAGGGCTGGAGAGATGGCTTAGTGTTTGTGTGTGTACTGCTCTGCAGAAGGTGAGAGTTGGGTTCCCAGCACCCATACTAGGCATCTCACAGCTGCCTATAACTCAGGTCCTGGGGGTGGGAGGCATCTGGCCTCATTCGCCTGGAGTAGGGTGAGCTGTTAAGTCTTTGTTCCTGTGGTGGAGCTGCTGGGGTGGCTGCCAGGCGGGGATTCCCCAATTGATTTTTTTGTGGTTAAAACCAACCCATTTATGTGGAGATGTTTAGCACATGTTCTTTTGGATTTTCAAACGTTTTGTTTATTTCCTGTTTCATGATTGCTTCAGATTGCAGTGTGTGTTCTGATCATACTTTGAATAGATAACTTATTCTCTGAAGTTGCAGATCTGCATCAGGATCGAAGGCAGTAAAGCGCACAATCTGAATATAGCCTTTAAAAAAATGGCTCTTCTTAGGCCGGGCGTTGGTGGCGCACGCCTTTAATCCCAGCACTCGGGAGGCAGAGCCAGGCGGATCTTTGTGAGTTCGAGGCCAGCCTGGGCTACCAGTGAGTTCCAGGAGAGGCGCAAAGCTACACAAAGAAACCCTGTCTCGAAAAACCAAAAAAAAAAAAAAAGGCTCTTCTTAAGAAATGCTGGGGGCAAGCAAGGTGGCTTAGAGGGTAAAGGTGCTTGTCCCCAAGACTGATGACCTAAACTTGATCCCTGGGACACAAATAGAGAGAACTGACTCCTACAGATTGTCCTCTGACCTCCACACAAATGCCTTGGCCTTCCACTATCCCCATAAATACATAAGAGAATTTTGGCAGCTCCTGCTGTAGCTAGTTTTGTCCATCAAAGACTAGTAATTTTGTCTTAGGATGACAAGCCCGATGATAAAGTCATACCCCTTGCTTTATAGTAGACTTTCTGTAGTAAGTTTTGTTAGCAGGGAATGATTTTCTTGACTGTATTAAAAACATTAGGTAGGTTTTTATGTTTTTTGTTTAAAGTGAGCACCTGTTAAAAAGCTTTCTCCCTTTTTCAGGGTTGATTATGAAACTTTTGATATACTGGAGGATGAAGAAGTAAGTTCTGGGTTCTCTGTTTCATCCCATGTTTTAGCTTTAGTCACAGGGTCTGGTGGAATGACTTCAGGATTCCTGTCATTTCTTTAGGTGCGGCAGGGATTAAAAACATTCTCGAACTGGCCAACCTACCCTCAGCTGTATGTGAGAGGGGAGCTTGTTGGGGGATTGGATATTGTTAAGGTAAGTGCTTTTCATTGCTATTCTCAAGAACTGAAAATTGGAGTTGTTAAGCATCCAGCTTTAGTGTTGTCTGGCTCATCTTTTCTGCATCCTCACATTCAGCATCCTCTGTGTATGTGTCTTAGTGTCTCATGCTTACTCCTGCTCTGACCTGTCTTCAAATCCTTCGAATGCTGCCAGCTGCCAAGGAGAGCTAAACTCTGCACCTGAAGGTCCAGATGAACTCAGGACCCTGCGGTGCTAACTGCAACACAGCCGCCTTCCCTATTTTCTTGTCTATTAGACATCTTTACTCGGTTCCCCCAACTTTAGAATTTCTTGTATCATCTGTAATTAAATCTTTTTTTCTCCATCCTTCAGAATCCAACTTCCTTGTAAATTTGTACACTTTTCCTGCCAGAAACATCTGTCCCAAAACTCTTAAGCTCCTTCGTTTTTTGTTATTGTAATTGTTTCTCTGGGCCATTTTCCTTTTCCCTATCCTACCTCAGGTACAGGAGTGAGGATGAGGAGTAGGAGACTGAGGCAAGAGTCTCTTGGTCCCCATGCCATATGGCTGCGGGTCACCTCTGCCAAGTGACAGGACTGTTAGCTGGTAGAGTGTAATTCTGTTTAAAGCAGGTACTGTATGTTACATGCTTCTTATTTTTCTGTTGAGACAAGATCTCATTCTGTAGTCCAGGCTGTCTTTGAGCTCCTTCTGTAGACAGGGCTGGCCTTGTAGCAGTCTTTTTGTCTGTCTCTGTCTTCCTAGTGCTGAAGTTACAGGTGTGAGTTGCTAGAGCTGGCCTTACATTCCTTCAAATCCTTCCTGATGCTCTGTTTATTTTAGGAACTTGATAAATGGTTATTAGGCAGTTAAAAAACTTGTTTCTTGTCTTTTAAATGGAGCTACCATTTTTTTTTTTTGTACTAGAAGGTGGCCTTATCTACTAGTAACTACTTGTTAGCTGTGTTGGTTAATGTAAACATATAAAGGAAAGCTGCAGCTTTGGTAGACCCATCTCATCCCGCTGCCTTGGATAGTGTGTTGAAGGGACATGTGTGACTCATGACAGTAGGGGCAGCTTCTCAAGGGCTGGAGACCACCCTCAGGCCTTCTGATTGTTTGGGGGAAAGTTTCTCTGAGTTTCAAGTAGAAAACAATTTTTTAAAATAGTTAAACATTATAAAATAAAAGCTTTAAAAACAGGCTTTTGCCAGGCGGTGTTGGCACATGCCTTTAATCCCAGCACTCAGGAGGCAGAGGCAGGCCTTGTCTGCAGAACTAGTTCCAGGACAGCCAGAGCTACACAGAGAAACCCTGTCTTGAAAAACTAAAACCAAAAAACCAGAAAAACAGGCTTTCACAATGTGAAGAAACTCAATATTTGGACCAGCTAACATGTCTATGAAATCAGGGCCCGAGGTAGCTGCAGGGCTGGCTGCTCTGTCTTGCTGGTTCAGGGCTGCTTTGTTTCCTGCCCAGTGTAGAGTTTGATGGCCCTTTGAAAATAAGGTAGGGAAAAAAAAAGAAAAGAACTGTAGCTTTTGAGTAGCCTTGAAGCAACAAGGTAAGTGTGCATTTGTTACTTTAATATCTAGGTGCATACACATCAAATGTAGGTAGGTATCTTAGTAAGATACAAACTGTCTTTTGAGTCTAGATGCTTTTGAACCTGTTGTCTGAATGTCTCACAGCCCGTGCCTTAGCCATGAGGTCTTGGGAGACCAGGAAGTAGTTTTAAACTTTTGGGATACTCTATGATCTTTGCTCAGAACATGTGCATTTGCAAGTTGGTGCTACTTCTCCCATTTTTTCTTGAAGGTTTTTGGAGCTGTCGCTTTGTATTTCCTAGAGTGCAGTTTTTCATCTGTTCATTAGTGTACATTCCATATGTTAATTCTGATTAGCCTCTGTTAGAGCTTTGGTACTTTTTGTTTTTGTTGACTGGGTCAGTAACTCTGACTTGTTCAGTCAGGTGTCCTGGAAAAGGCTGCTATTGACAGACACTAGGGGAAGTGAGGAGTGCTTGGACTTGGAGCCTTTGTTTGAGTGATTTAAAATGCCTAGCGAAGATGTCTGAGCTGTCTGCTCTCAGAGGAGAGAGAAGCTCTTCAGTGTATCAGAATCAGAGGGAAAGATTCTTATTATTATGTGGAGTTCATCTGCTTCTCACCATAGGTTAGTTATAAACTTGGAGATTAGAAAAATGGACTATGGTGCAGCAGACTGTTAGCTTGTGCACAAGGAAGAGAGAGAAGGCTGCCTGATTTGTTGTGTGCCTGAACTATGGCTGGCTGGGCTCAGTGGTTAACTTTGTAACCTGAGATTGTTTTGCCAACCCTCCTATCTGTGGGTTCTAGATGTGCAGATTCAACCACTGAAGATAACTCTCTCTCTCTCTCTCTCTCTCTCCCCCTCTCTTCCTCTCTCCCCCCCTCTCTCCTTCTCCCTCTCCCTCTCCCTCTCTCTCACTCACTCACTCACTCACTCACTCAGCTGGACTTGGTGGTATGTACATGCTTTTAATCTTAGCACTTGACAGGCAGAGACAGGCAGATCTCTTTGAGTTCAAGGTCAGCCTGATCTACAGAGTGAGTTCTGGACAGCCAGAGCTACATAATGAGACCCTGTCTCAACATTTTCTAGTCTGTTGTGAACATGTACTGAGGGAGTTCTTGCAGGTGTCATGTCAGGCAGAGAAGCAAACCAAGAAGAGGGAGAATGAGAACTTGGTTCAGATTGTCTTGTCAACCTGGATCAAACTTCAGGGAGTCTGATGCTGGGCGAGTTATTGCCAGTGTATTTAAACCCAGTATAATTTAGAAAAAAGTTCCTGGTGTAATACAGTCCCTGGTGCACAATGAAGATAATTGCATCGAAACTCAAGCACATGTCATTTCTTCAAAGAAGATGGGTTCTAGAGACAGGCTACCTGTGCTAGCTTAAGGGCCTAAGGAAGGATCTAGCCTGGTTCAGTCATACAGATAGCAAAGAGGTTATTTGGGCTATTAGCCACCTCTGGTCCTGGTTCTGGGAACTTGGGGGAGCCCCTGGCTATACGGATAATGTAAGGGTCCATTTAGATTATTAGGTATCTTAGGTTCTGGTTGTGGGAGCTTGGGGGAGCCCCTGGCTATACAGATAATGTAAGGGTCCATTTAGATTATTAGGTATCTCAGGTTCTGGTTGTGGGAGCTTGGGGAGCCTATGGCTATACAAGTAATATAATGGTCATTTAGATTACTAGCCACCTCTGGTCCTGGTTGTAGAAGATTGATATGGCCTGGCACAACAGATAACGCTGATCACCAAGCTATTAATCACCTCCACTTCCCAGCTTTCTGGATAGAAGAACAGGTTTTCCAGCTTTTACATTGAAAAAAAAAAAAAAAATCCTGCACGCTTAACATTCCTAGTTTCCCTGGAGATCTGTGGGTACACGGACCTTCATGCTCCCAACAATGTTCCAGTGTTTTCCTGTCATTATTTCCCAAGCAACACAGCATAATAACATTCACATTATAACTTGGAGACCAAGTTCAGCATTCGAGTGGTGTGGACTGTGTCTTCTACACACCATCTTCTGTAAAGACTATTCTTGGTCTGTAGTGAATCCACAGTCAGTCTCCATGAATACAAAGGTGGCTGTATTTGCTTGAAAATAAATTCTAGCATATAGTTTATGTTCATTTTTACTTGTGCAGAGAAAGAGGAGAGGGGAGAGAAGAGGGAGACTTGAACCCAGGGCCTTGGCATGTTAGGCCAACGCTCTACTGCTGTGCCTTGTACTTTGATTTATGGTGTAAGAATGTTGACATGTTGAAAACTTGCAAGTTTATCTCAGTAGATACCCTTTTGGTGTCAGATACGGGTAAAAGCTTATTGCTTAGCTACATTTTTTTTTGCATGATTGTACACTCACGCATACCTGCTTTTTTTTTTTTTAATTTTTAGGAACTGAAAGACAACGGTGAATTGCTGCCTATATTGAAAGGAGAAAATTAATAAATGTTAAGCATGGTGTCCAAGGACTGCAAGAAATATTTAATTACAGTGGAACAGTTGATGGTTTGGTCCTGAGAAGTGGACTAGGAGTAGAAATTGGTCTCACCCAGCTATGCTCTGCCTTTCAGAGCTGTGCTGAAGAAACATGTTACATTTTCCATGAAACATAGAAGGCAATAAACTCTTCAGATTCAGCTAAAAATGATTATGTGTAGAATTTATGTGTGGAATGTCTTTGTAACGTACAGTCACTGTCACTAATTCCTTTAAAGCTCTCTCTTAACACATGGGCCTCTTGTAGCAATTAGGGAAGGCCGTCAGGAAATAAGGGCCTCTCACAAAGAAAGCAGTGTGCAGTAGAGCTTAGCAAACTCCAGTGCCAGCCCAATGGCTCCCCTCACTGGCCAGAGAGCTCTTCACAGCCTTGGAAAATGCAACCAAACGGCTTATTCTGCTGACAGCGATGATGTTTACCCAGACCACCTTCAGAAAGCCAGAACACTTTTGTCCCAACATCCGTTAGAGGGAACAGTAGTGACCAAGAGTAAGGAAGCACCCTTCAGTCTTACAGGACTACAAATTATTTGGATCATTGCAGTGAATATACTAATTATGCCTTCCGATAAGTAGAGAATATTCCAAGAGCCATGAAATTCTTTTCCTTTTTAAATTAAGTTTTCCATTCATTTACATATCAGCCACAGATTCCCCCATCCTCCCTCCTCCCACCTCCAGCCCTTCCCCCCAACCCACTCCCCACTCCCACCCCCTCCAAGGCAAGGTCTCCCATGGGTAGTCAGCAGAGCCTGGTACATTCAGTTGAGGCAGGTCCAAGCCCCTCCTCCCTGCACAGTGTCCCACCATAGGCACCAAGCTCCAAAAGGCCGGCTCATGCACCAGGGACGGGTCCCGATCCCACTGCCTGGGGGTCCCCTAAACAATTCAAGCCAAACAACTATCTCACTTATCCAGAGGGCCTAGTCCAGTACCACAGGAGCTCCTCAGCTATTGGTTCACAGTTTAAGTGTTTCCACTAGTTTGGCTAGTTGTCTCTGCACTCCTTCCAATCATGGTCTTGATATCTCTTGCTTATAGAATCCTTCCTCTCTCTCATCGACTGGACCCCTGTAACTCCACCTGGGACCCGGCTGTGGATCTCTGCATCTGCTTCCATCAGTCACTGGATGAGGGTTCTGTGATGTCAGCTAGGGTATTCAGCCATCCGATCACCAGAGTAGGTCAGCTCAGGCACCTTCTCGACTACTGCCAGTGGATTCCTGGGGACCTCCCTAGCACTCTGCTTTTTCCTATTCCCATGGTGCCTTCACCCATCATGGTATCTCCTTCCCTGCTCTCCCCACTCTGCTCCTGATCCAGCTCGAACCTCCTGCTCCTCTAAGCTCTCATTCCCCGTCCCTTGCCTTTCATTACCCCCCCCCCCCCCAGCTTGGAGGGGGTAGATCCCATCCACCCCTCCCTTGTTGGGCGATCCCTGTGTCCCTCCCAGGGTCCTCCCTACCAGCCTGTCTCCCTGGAGCTGTGGGTTGCAGTCTAGTTATCCCTCGCTTCACATCTAGTATCCACTTATGAGTGAGTACATACCATGTTTGTCTTTCTGAATCTGGGTTACCTCACTCAGGATGATATTTTCTAGTTCCATCCATTTACCTGCAAACCTCATGATGTCATTGTTTTTCTCTGCTGAGTAGTACTCCATTGTGCATATGTGCCACATTTTCTTTATCCATTCTTGAATTGAATTTTAAATGTATATTTTTCCACCCTGACTTTACATATGTGAGAAACCCTTGTCCCATCATGCTTTGCTGGCACAAGCCTTACTTAGGATTTCTGAATTCACAGCTGTGGGATCTGGGCATTTGCTGCCTGTGGGATGTTCTTAAATGATCTTAGCCTGCTGCTTGGGGCTGTGAGCACTGTCTGTAAGAAGGAAAGGGGTGTGTCCAGTAATTGGAATGAACACAGGGAGGGAGTACAGACCCAGCCTCTCCAGAGCTCTTGAGCTGCTGTTCCTAACCTCGGTCCTGTGATGTGCAAGGCGGAGGCACTGAAGTAGCCCACGTTTTAAAGGTGGTTGGGCCTGGCTTCCTAGGACAGGATGCCTATGAGGGGATTTTCTGGAGAACAAGGCTCTTTATTTCCACTTAAATGAAAATCAGTGTGTAAGTAAAACTTAAATGCAGATAGATGTTCTTACCAAGGTGTGACTTCCCATGTGCCTCATGGAGGTCTGACTATATTAGTCACTCTTCTATGGCTGAGTTAAACACTTGTGACCAAGGCATTTTATAGAAGAAAGGATTTATTTGGGCAGGGATTTATGATGTAAGCCATAGGCATGGTGTCTGGAGCAGAAGCTGAGGATTCACATCTTGAACCTTAAGCATGAAGCAGAGATAGAGGACTTAAATGATGTAACCCATAAACTCCCAGAGCCTGTCCCAGTGACATACTTCCTCACACAAGGCCACCTAAACCTCCTGAAGAGCACCATCAACTGGGGATGAAGGGCTAAAGCTGGAGACCATGGGAACATCTGCAGGAAGGTTTTCTTAGGCTCCCAAACTGAAATTATTTGTACATGGCTTTTAGGATTTTTTTTTTTAAATCTACAAATGCTCACTGTCCTATTCCACCTTATCCTAAGTATTCTAGCTTCATCTCTGTTACTGTGAGATCACCATGACAAAAACTAACTTGGGTGAGAAATGGTTTATTTGGTTACAGTACCAGACCCACAGCTCATTATTGTACAGAAGTCAGGTCAGGAGCTTGAAGCAAGCAGCAAGAACAAGGCGAGAATGCATGCGTGCATTCCTTGTGGCTTTTACACAGTTCAGGGCCCAGTCTTCAGAACAGTGCCATTCACAGTGGGCTGGCTCTTCCTGCCTCAGCTAACCTAATTAAGACAGTCCCTTGCACACACACCCACACTGGAAAATCCTCACGTAGATTTTCTTCTCAGGTGTTTGACAAGACTCGCCAACACATACCTTTGTGACTATAGATTGATATACTGTTCCTCCACATTGAAATAAAATGTCTAACTTTTAATATAAGTAACCAAACCAATTTAATATATTTTTATTTGAAAATTTCATAGAACGGGTTTTGATCATGTTTGCCCTCTACTCTTCTCCCCAACTCCTTCCAGGACTACCCATCCTCCCTGCCCCCTTCTTTGTGTCTTATTTATCCCCTCTCTTCCTCTCCTCCCTTCCTTATTATCTTACCCTAGTTTATTTTATTAATTCCTAATTAATTTTATTTTAATAATTCCTTAAATTCTGTTATTGGTTCTCTTGACCCCAGGATAAGTAGGTGGTAACAGTGAGGCAGGGAGCCATTGGGGTGATTAAGAGATCTTGACTGGTGGCTGCTCCTAGCCTGATTTTATTAGATGTAATTTGGAAGTAAAGAGTTTAGGGGGTCCAGTTGAACTTCCGTTGTCAGACTTTCTAGCAGAAGAGAGTTTGTGAATGGGCTGAAGACAGCCTGCTTTTGTCAAAGTTGAAGTCCAGCGACATCCACTTACTTCCTGGGGAAAGGCTGCAGTATTGTTTGGATGTTTTATTTGGTGCCTGTTTGAGGAGACTGCCAAGTGTGTGCTGTGTGGAGCTGAGCAAGTTTGGACATGTCTTGGGACACCAGTTTCCCTAGGGAGTGGTCCTAGGTGATCTGGTATGGCTGGCTTCTGCAGCCTCCAGGGTGTGATGTGGGATTCATTATGAATGGGGGCTGAGAGTGAAGTCTGGAAACACTAAGGACTGCCAGCCCTGGAGGGGCTCTCAACAGAGACTCATGCCACTGTGGCTTAATTTACCTGTCACCAGGGAAACCAGTTCCCCCATGAGCAGGATTCCCCTAGAAGACGCTGGCTAAGTAGGAATTAGAGGGCCTCACACTAACTACTGGTCAGTCAGTGTGTTTATATATCTGAAAATAACTTCCTTGATAGAGAAGGGTTCTTAGGAATTTGTGTCTGCTTTGGGAGATAAGCCTGTAGGAATGGACTTTTGTTGTGGATTATTTAACTATGTAAAGATGTGTTACATTTGTTTATGCTGTAGAATATTACTTTAACTGTGTAAAGGTGTGTTTATGATGCATTTGTTTAATTATGAAAAGATGTGTTTCACCTTTCCTGCCTAAAGCACCTGAACGGCCAATAGCTAGGCAGGAGAGGGATCGGCAGGGCTGGCAGTCAGAATAAATACAAGGAGAAATCTAGGCTCAAAAGAAGTGTGAAGAGATTGAGGAGGAGACGGACATGCCTGGGGCCAGAAGCCAGGCAGCTACTAGCCAGCCAGCCAGAAGCAATGAAAGCAAGATATACGGAAGGAAAGAAAAGTAAAACGCTTCGAGGCAAAAGATAAAGAGAAAACAGGTTAAGTTAAAAGAACTAGCCAGAAATGTACCTAAAGAGCATTCATAGCTAATAAGAAGTCTCCGTGTTATGGTTGGGGGCAGGTTGGTGGCTGAAAGAGAAAGCCTGGTACAGACTTTCCCCTCAACTCTGCTTTTGTAATAAGTAGGGAGTGGAACTGTGGGGTAGGAGGGTCAAGGCAATGAAAGCCTATCTTGGTGGCGAGGTTTTCCTTTGGAGTTGGGGGAGTTGGGGGACACTAACCTGCAGCCATCAGGAGAGGGCTTTCCATGTAGGTGTGACTCACATACTCGAAGCACACTCTCTGGCAAAGATGCGTGTTAAGTCACTCATGGCCATTCCAAAGTTCTTGCCCTTGTCTCTTTTCTGGCCTTCAGACACATTTGTCCTGCTCAGCCAAGTGGCTCTTATGACTACTAGTGACCTCCTAAGGTCATGGTTGGTTTGACCTTGTTCTGCCTGTAACTGAATGTGTGGACCTGCCCTGTACTCAGTTACTTTCCTGGTTACTGTGATGGAGTACCTGACAAGCACTTCCTGGACAAGCACTTCCTTTCAGGAAGTGCGGAGAGATGCATGCTGGTCCTCACCTGACTGGCTTTCTCTCTCTCTCTTTCCTTCCTTCCTTGTTTTTGTTCTTGTTTTTTGTTTTTTTAAGACAGGGTTTCTCTGTGTAACAGCTCTGGCTATCCTGGAATTAGCTTTGTAGACCAGGCTGGCCTCGAATTCACAGAGATCTGCCTGCCCCCACCTCCTGAGTGCTGGGATTAAAGGTGTGCACCACCACTGCCCAATAT